AACCATAACAGGTGGGATTTTTAATCTTTTGGTAAATTGGAGTACTTCAAGGTGGTGGAAGAGATGTACATTGAAATTCTTGTTTAATTGCCTGACATCCTGTTACTTTGCATGCCTAAAACCCCTCTCATATTGGCAGGAGTATTCTTGTCTCTCTTCTACTTTTTATGATCTTTCTTCTACTATTTATGATCAACAAATCATATGTTGTTGGTCTTTCTCTCATACTGTCAATGTCCATCCCTGCCAGGCATGATCTAAGTTCAAGTACCAAACATTCTGTGTTTAAGCAACCTGCTTTCATTCAGTTAGATGAACAACATCACTTTGTGCTTATGCCGTGGTGAAAAGACCACTTGTGGAGAATGTAGGTGCTGCCCATTTTGGTAGAGGGCCAAAACTCTTAGCTGATACAAACTGTACTCAGTATTGTAGTAGGGTAGTCTTCATYGGTTCCAGGCCACACTGACCTGTAGTGCTGGTGGAAAAAATGCTGAAGACATGGCATCAGCATCCCATGTGAAAAGATGTAATTCTCCTGAATTCTGATCCTGTTTGCCTGAACTGCCTGTATGACATCGAGAGAGAATTTGGTCTATAAATATGCATATGCAAAGATAGGGAAATAGATGTAATGACACAAAAGATCAAACTAATACTGTTGATCCACTTAAGTGGGATTTGTCATTTCTTTGCTTTGCTTCACTGCTTCTACCTGGACTTGRCTGGGGTAATTATRTRGACAATGCCTCAAGTTATTAAATTCCATCCTGCAGATGAACTTCAAGTCTGTGCTGCTGTTTGAATCTGCAATATAAGATTATCATCTTATGTATGACAATAAGGTTCTTTGTTGTGAATGTATATGAAGTCAAATAGTATTTGGCATCTTTTAGCTGGGTAGTATGAAAGTTGCATCACACGTGGCTTCATCACTTGTGACCTTTTCAAGAGAACACAAGACTCTTTTTGTCTTGGGAGCGGTTGTGTTGTTGCTGTGCTTGCGTTGTGAAACTCAGCCCTTGTATCCTATGTAGCTTTCAGCTTCTGTTTAAGGCTCTCACTATCCTTGGAGTTTTTCTCTCAGGGTTTTGCCAGCTCATCAAGAACAGTGTACCACATGCTGCATGTGTGTGTATATCCTCTATCTTATGACATCATTGGTTATTTACTAGTGTGCCTGAGGGACATCATCTCCCAGAAGGAGTAATTCTATGTCAGATTGCTTGCTTTCTTCAAAAATGATACACCTGTACATTCTTTTAATTTGGGCTTAGCTTTAACTGAACTGCTTCTGGTCAATTGCAAAACAGAATGACCTCTTCCTCCATGTCCCTAAAAACTAAAGTTATCTTGAAGAAAGACTAAAGTTATCTTGAAGAAAGACTAAAAATTAAGTTATCTTGAAGAGTGCAATTTTAAAATTTAGCTGTTTATAGAAGCGTTTGTATAGCTGAAGACTAAGCAATAGTCTTCCTTCTGCTTTTCCAGGTGTAGGTACTATTGATAAATCTCTTCTTCTGAACTGTTCTAATTAACTCTTTAATGTTTTCATGCTTTTTTTAATCTCTCTGACTAGAAAACATGATGTCAGCACACTTAAAATATTGATACTTCATTTTTCAGTTTTGCATATCTACTCTCTACATGACAGAYTAGAAGAATATTTGTACAAAGCTCCTATGTTTTCAAAGCAATGGTTTTGTTATTGTGGAGTAGTTCATGGAAGGCACAGAATAGCATATAAACATTTTCATCCATTGCAAAGCAGTATTCTGTAAACATAATGTTTGTAGAGGTGACTGAATTTTATAGGATTTTTACTTAAGCCAGATTTATTTGCTTGTGGGCCTGTTTAAGGCAACCTGTTCACTTGAGCAGAATGTATCTTCTGTGAATTGATATATCTGCCCTAAGAATAGAAGTATGTCCCTGTGGTACTAAAGCACTCCAGCCTCTACCTGGTATTTGCCTGACTCTTGGTCTAGTTATTTTMCCCCTTACTAGAAATGTGCCTGTTTTATTTGGCCTGGGAAGAATAAAAATACACTCCTGTTCTTGGGTCACTAGCAGTCCTCTAAGTGAAATGCCATTAAAAGATCCAGTGTGGTAAGTTTCTTTGTTGTTGTTGTTAAGACCACATGTAATGTTCCACATCTCTGTATCCTTGAATGTTGTAGAAAACTGGTAAAGCTATCAACAGATTCTACTTTGTACAGCCTTTTCAGAAGAGAAGGACTTGGTGAGAGAGAGGGCAAGAAGATAACCCCACTTCTTACGCTTTAACTCCTCTGACTGAGAAGTATTATAACATAAAGTTCACTAAGTAAGTCTTTAGAGATGTCTTAGTCATTCACCCTTTTAATATTGGATTGCTGAAAGCGCTGAACATTGTGTTGTAGTTCACATGGAGCTCTTTATAAAGTCTCCAAATATGTCACCAGTGTTGATATTTAGTGCTGGTTCAGTAGATTCTTAAGAACCTGCCTTTAGCACTTACTTTCAAAGTAACACTCTACAACCTTTTATGAAAGAAATGCTGATATTTTTAGACTCCTGTACTCTAGGTATCCTGTAAGATGAAGACTTTGAGAGGAGACTTGTATCTGTATGTTGAGTTTGTAATACCATTATGGTGTTTTTAATTGGTTGCGTAGAAGTCTTTTTTCACTAATTCGTCAGATGACCTGGCTGTTTTGTGCGGTGTTCTGATACACAAAACAGGAAACCTTTCACCCTTCATCATAGTAAATTGCATTGCTGAATTTCACAACTTAAATGAAAAGTAAAATACTGGCTTGAACTATCCCACCAGCTTCTATMTTTTTCAAAAAACAAAACTTAAATCTGGAATTGCCTGGTTACCTGCATGAGGATGGTATCTTGTATGGAGCAGTTGCAAAACATCCAACACCTGTTCTTAAGTGGAAATGAACCTGATATTGTTGCTTCCCTGCATTTTTTTATAGTGGAATGTACGTGAATTTGATGTGAATATTGAATTTCTACTCAAAGCATAGAATGCAGGTGGTTTTCGTTCTAAGCAGATTATGTAATCTCCTGCCATGCTAGAGGAGCTCCATGATGGTATTTGTGCATTGCTTAAGGCTTAGTGATTTAAGTCATCTGTATGAAAAAGGAATACATTTTTATGTTCTTCACTCCCTAGTTGCAGTGTCAGACCATATGTTAGTGTTTTCTCTTGCAGTTTCGCTCACTTAAAGATAGAAACATCATACCAAACCTTGCTAAATGCAAAGTCATGAGCTTTTGCAAATGATGCCAGTTAACACTCTTACTGTCATTGAAGCTATTCAGCAGTATGGGAAAAACAATAATAAAAGCCAGCTCTATAGCAGTGTGTGAGACAAACATCCAATCTGCCCCTGCAGCAAGAGAACACCAGAGAGAAGACTGGGATACAGATCTTTGGTCTCCTGGCTGGATTGAAATATTTTCACTTAGTTGTTGTTTTGWTTTATTACAGATCCTATTAGACCATAGAATGGAATTGTCATGAAGGTTCAGTAGTGACCTAGCTCCTTTTATTTCAATTTGTTTTTTGATCGTGGAACTTAGTGTGTTACTGAATACTGTGTTTCCTCGTACCTCATTTGTTTTTTAACTTCATAACCATTTATCAGACACTTCTTCCTTAGTTTCTTAAAAATATTCAGACTAGAGCTATTGTGTGATAATGTCTGACTTAACACAAATTGTTCTTTAATTCTGAGGGATGAGCCAGAGAAGATGTCAGAAGTAATGATTATAGAATCAYGGAACCATTAAGGCTGGAAGTCTCTGAGATCATCRTTGTTAACTAGCACCACCATGTTCACTGCTAAATCCAAGTACTACATTTCTGCATGCCTTTTGAACACTTCCAGGGATGTTGATTCCACCACTTCCCTGGGCAGCTTGTTCCCAACCCTTTCAATGAATAAATTTTTTCTAATATCTGAACCTCCATTGGTGCAACCTGAGGCTGTTTCTTCTTGCCCTATTGCTTGTTAACTGGGAGAGGAAACCGACCCCTACCTTGCTATAACCTCCTTTCAGGTTGTTGTAAAGAGCGATAGCCAAGTATTGTTGACTTGGTGAAAAGTTTCCAAATCTGGTTAATTAGGATATGGTCGCTTATAGTTACTGTAGCTGTTGCCAAGCTTTGCATACTAGGCAGAGAGCAGAGTCTAAAAGGTAAGAGCCTATCTCACTAAATATGTGACTTCACATTCTTGATGGTTTCCTGCCAAGTCTGTTCTCAGCCTCTTCATAAAAACATACATGGGATGCCTGCAACACTAACTCAGTATTCTGAGCTCTTTGGTTTTGTGCAAGAGCAGTACATCCTAGGACTTGCTATGTTTGTAAATGTGCAGTGGAGAGCAAATGTTGGTTCAGGAACTACCATTTTGAGTGGTCTATGGAATTTTTAGATGTTACTGTTATTGAATGCTAGTTCAGTTTCTGCTCACAACTTTGTGCTCTGCTTGCCACAGAGGCACTTCTTGAGACTTTTACAACATTGTGAGTAGTCTGAGTGAGTCGGAGTCTTGCAGTTTGACAGATAGTTTTGAACTTCTGAGGAACTCTGTACTCTTCTAATGGGTTTGAAATCTCTGRGTGATTTATTGTGGGTGTCCCCCCAGCCATTTTGAGAAGGCAAAATCTAATAGGTGGATTATGAGAAGGTCATCTGTATATTTAGCTATAAAATATAATTTAGTTATAAAATATAATAAAATACAACCTGTTTCAAGCTGTGCTTGGGTCATATTTTTCCGATATTCTGCCGGATGATCAAATGAAAGATTTTTTAAATCTATATAACTTGCTGTGTGTTGTAAACCAAAAAGGTACMACTTGCCAAGAAACTTGCTTTATTTCAAGTGTCAGGGTTGAAYACTGTTTAACTTGCATGTGACTTTGAATAGAAGTAACTATAACTGGGCTTTTTACTGTGCAATTTTGACATGACTGCTTTCCTGTTTGATTTACAGCACTTAAATATCAAGACACTGACAGATGATGTGGTAAGACAACTTAAGTTTTGCTTTGGCTATGCTAAGCAAATAACCTTACTGCTATAGCAAYAGAAATAACTTTACTAATCCAAGAAACTATCTTAACTTTGAAGCTAATTTCGTTAATTGGCAAACTCTCACTGAACTGGTAATTATCTGTAACATAATCAGTACGAGTAGCAAAAATGTATGGATGGCTTTGAAGTGTGCTCTAATCACGGCTAAATGAGCCTGACACAGGTAATTGTGCCAATCTACTTGCAGTATGGTTGAGATATCTGTGATTGCATGTTTAATATTAAAGTGACTGAGGCTGCATGGCTAGCTTRAAATAACATGTTTAACAAAGTAACATTTGCTTGTGGAACTCGTTAATGCTTGTTSAAACCACGTTAGGTGTATTTGGTGTCATGCTTAACACCGTGTTTCTCAAATTTGATCAGAGATGAGGTTCTGTATCTGACCACAAACCAGATCTTTTTTCTTGCTCTTGAAGTTACCTATTTCTTTATCCATACTATTCTTTTGTAGATAATAGTATTTTTTTCTTAAAACGTATTTTTGCTAAGTCTTTGAATTTGCCTGGGAAGTAATGTTTTGTCATCAACTGTTGATCTACTGTTATGACTTCAGTGCTATGCAGAGTTCTTGCTGAAGTGTTGTATTGCTCCCAAGCCTTTTCTTAAAAATAGTGTTGTATGTGGGCGACCAGGAACTTTTTTTCTTTTTAAATTCAAGTATRTTAACATGTTGAGAATCTAAAATGCAGACTACTTTCCTATATTTGAACTGGATTATTTGTGATGCTGATGAATTGTCTACTTTTAGTGACAAATCCTCATTAAGTTCAGAAACACTTTGCTTTTTACACTATCCACATGTGCTTCTTTTAGCTTGTTAGTCTCTGCAAAGGTGGCAATAACATCCTTGCTTCAGAAAGGAGTGGAAAGCAGGTAACTGAGACACCTGTCTCAAGTGCTCCACATTCCAAGAACCACAGAATCATCAATGTTGGAAGAGGTCTTCAAGATCATGTAGTTCTACTGTCAACATAGTACCACCCTAATCACCCCTAAACCATATTAAGTGCTAAATCGAGATGCCTCTTTAACACTTCCAGAGATGGTGACTCCATCATTCCCCTGGGCAAATTACTCCAATGCCTAACCACTGCTCCAGGGAATTTTTTTTTCTAATGTCTGATCTGAACCTCCCCTGGTGCAACTTCAGGTCATTTCCTCTCATCCTTTCACTCAAGATTGTGGAAGAGGCCACCCCCCACCTTGCTAAAATCTCCTTTCAGGTATTTGTAGGTCTTTCCTGAGCCTCTTCTCCAATATAAACAGCCCCAGCTCCCTCAGCTGCTCCTCATAGTACTTGCTTTCTAGACCCTTTAACAGCTGTGTTGCCCTTCTGCTGGACAGCTCCAGCACCTCAATGCCTTTCTTGTAGTGAGCRGCCCAAAAGTGGATACAAGGATCAAGGTGTGGCCTCAGCAGTGCTAAGTACAGGGGGACTAGAACTGCCCTGCTCCTGCTGGCCACCCTATTGCTGATACAGGCCAGGATGCCACTGGCCCTCTTGGCCACCTGGCCACTGCTGGATCCTGTTCAGCCACTGTCAATCAGCACCCCAGGTTCTTTTCTGCTGGGCCATTTTCCAGCTGCTCTGCTCCCAGCGTATAGCTCTGCAAGGCATTTTGTGACTCAGGTTCAGAAACTGGCACTTGGACTTATTGAACGTTAGGCTGTTGTCAGCCCACCTATCCAGCCTGTCCAGATCCCTCTGCTGACCCTTCCTGCCCTCCAACAGWTCAACATTGTCACCCAACTAGTGTCATCTGCAAACTGTCTGAGAGGACACTCAACTCCTTCATCCAGATCATTGATGAAGACTGACACCTATACTGAGCCTTGCAGAACTGCACTTGTAAGTGGCTACCAACTCRATGTAGCACCATTCACTACCATTCCCTGGATTCAGCCATCCAAAGCGTTTTTCWCCCAGCAAGGAATGTGCCTGTCGAAGCCATGAGCAGCCAGTTTCTCCAGGAGAATGCTGTGGGAAATGGTGCGGAATTCTTTAGTGAAGTCTAGGGAGGAACCATCCACAGCCTTTCCCTCATCCACTGAGTGGGTCACATGGTCATAGGAGATCAAGCAGAACCTGGAGAAGGAGATCAAGCATATCAAGGTTGGTCAAGCAGAACAACCCATGTTGGCTCGGCCTGATCTTCTGGTTGTCCTGTACATTCTGTGTGATGGCACTCAGGATGATCTGTTCTATGGCTCTCCCTTCTACCTAGGTCAGTTTGACAGGCCTGTGGTTCCTTGGGTCATCTTTCCAGTCCTTCTTTTAGGTGGGCCTTGTATTTGCTAATTTCCAGTCAACTGAAACTTCTCCAGAGAATCAGGACTGCTGGCAAATGTTTGAAAATGGATTGGTGAGCTCTTTTACCAGTTCCCTCATTACTCTGTGATGCATCCCATCCAGGCCCATAGACTTGTGGGTGTCTAATTTGCATAGCAGATTACTAGCCATTTCCTCCTGGATTATGGGGGCTTCATTTGGCTCCCCATCCCTGGGAGTTGAGTTTCCTGAGTTCTCCATCCCCTCCTCTGGGAGTTGGGTTTCCTGAGCACAACTGGTTTTGGCATTAAAGACTTGGATAAAGCAGTCATTAAACACTTCAGCCTTTTTTTTTTGTCCAGATACTACAGTGCCTTCTGCAAGCAGCAATGAATGCGGAGTCTCTCCATAGCCCTGCTTTGCTGGCAATATATTCATACAAACATTTTTGTTGTTTGTAACAATGGGGGCCAAATTGAGTTCCAGTTTGACTTTGACTGTTCTACTTTTTCTCCTTACTTAACCATACAACATCCTTGTGTGCCCCCCAAGTTACATTACCTTCCTTCCAGAGGTGATACACTTTTTTTCCCCCCTTTCTTTTTTCCTCTGCTCTGAGCCATGAGTTCCAGTCTAAGTTCTCTGTTTAACCCTGCTGGTCTTTTTCTCTATTGGCTTGTCGCATGGCATAAGGGGACAGCCTTTAAAATTTCCTTCTTACAGTATGTCCRACCTTCCTGGACTCCTTTACCCTTCAGGGTTGACTCCCAAGAGACTCTGTCAGTTCATATGTTCAAGTGGCCAAAGTCTGCCTGCCAGAAGTCCAGAGTGGCAGTTCTGTTGATGTCCGTCTTTACTTTACTCAGAACTGAGAACTTCATCAATTTTGTGGTCACTGTGCCCAAAATGGCCACCACACACCACATCACCCGCCAATCCTTCTCTGTTCATAAACAGTGTGTGTATCAGGGCAATTCCCCTGGTAGGTTGGAAAGGGATTCACCTGCCACTCCGAACAGGGACTTACCTCAAATCTCCCCCATCTCTCAGGTCTCCTTCTGTCTGTTGGGGAGATTATCTTCTACTTCCTGAGATGCAGTTTGCTGGCGCGCCTGCCTCAGCTCTGGCAGAGAGAGAGAGAGTAAGACTCAGAAAGGTTAAGAAARCCTACATATTAACAGAATTTTATTAAAAGGTACCTTATGTAGACAAAAAATAAAAAGCACACTAAAATTCCTTATAGCATAAAATTATACATAAAATTATAAATTCCTTATWGCATAAAGTAGCAACTACTTTAAAKATTAGAAAGRCTGTATAATTTTCAGTATATAGAGAAACAAGATTCAGAGTGAAATATTTTCTGCACATTGAGTTGAGGATGTGATTGTGCACAGTCCTAAATTCTATCAATTCTAGATTGGTAAAATAATCTCTGAGAYTGAGCATATTAGGAATAAGAAGTCATCCTATCAAGGGGATTCTTCTGTGTATCTTGGTTTATGCAGGTCTTGGTCTTCCTAAAAGCTTTACTGCTAGTGTTGGAATTTCTCRCATACTGAGAAGTTAATCTTGTGGAGCAATTTGACTGTCAAAGAAAGGATATATTTTTTAATCTTCTGGAGCTTCAAGGAGGAAAAATATGTTAAGAGGTCTTTGACTCAGTCATTGGAAGTAACTTCTTTGATCTTCTGTGAAGTGTTATTGCTGGTAAGAGGGTTGCTTTAGGTTCTGAAGATACTGAAATAATTTGTTGCAACCCGGTTTGTCRTGTCTGTTTTCTATCCAGTAGCAAAAATAATTATTTGAAATGAAGAGACAGGATTTTTTCCACTTTGTATTCTCCTTTTGTTCCTTCCTATGTTAATGTTCTCCCAAGTCTTGGTTATGTGTCAGCATTAGGGTTTTACAGCAGACTTTCATGACTGAGCTGTTGGCTTCTGTGACTAAAATGACTGGCAAAATGTCTGGGAGATTGAGCTTTGCTGTAGTGCTTGGGCAGATTTTTCAGATTTGAAAATATATTTACTGAGTACATAAATAGCAGGCAGTCAAAAATGTGAACTTGAAAATAAAGGTGGCAGTACTTTTTGTCCTACATATCCATAAGGCAGAGTGAGAAGAACACCCAGAGAAAGAGCAAAAAGCTATAAGCAATACTCCTGGCTTTATGCCTTCACTCAGGAAATGAATATTTTGTACCTGCATATATTTAATGTCAGAATTCTGCTAACAGATTGTGCTTAGTGATCACCATCAATGTCTTGATGGTGCATATATATGTTTATATATATATATATGAATCTGTGTGTTTCTTCATGAGAATGTGAGTGGAAGAAAGAAGGCTATTCAATACTTCTAGTAACACRTTTTAGGTGAAACCATAATAAACCTGTAATGCCCTGTCCTCATAACGAGGTATCAGAAGTTGTGCCTCAGAAAGACAACCTATGGGGAGGATAACCTTCCTACATATTTCTTCCCTCCYTCTTTCCTTCCTTCTCCTCYAGGCTGACTATAGTAGAATTTGAGAATATGAAAGGTTTTGAATATCCTTCGAATACCATTGAAACCAACTCAATCCTTTTTCTGGGAGGCAGCATGTTGTTGTGTATAGTTGGGTCTTGTTTAAGGTCAGGCTCTTTACTAAGAACATCACCCAGACTTTTAACCAAAAGTTGGATAGTTTGGAGTGGAGGGGTGTGTGGGACTGAATGGAYCAGTGCCTAGGACAGTAGTCTGTGCTTGCACTTTACCCCTAGCTAGTGCATAATCCAGAAAAACTAGTAAAAGTTTTGGCCTTGGAAAAGATGTGTTGTCACCCTGGCAAGCCAGGAGGACCCGAATCGCTGCAATGTGTGTGGCCTACTGAGCCATATCCAGCACCATCCAGTGCCCTCAGGAGGGAAAAAAGGGTCTGAATTTCACAGTGCAATATCAGGTCGTCCAGCTGCTCCAGCCACTGTGACAGACACTGTGATTAATTCAACCCTGATCACAAACACTGCCACTAAAGCAGACAAACATGTACTGGTGTCACTTGCCTCTGTACATGAGCAGAAGAAACACATATAAAAATCACYCTTCAAAAAAGCTTTAGCAAAAAGCAGTCAAGGAGAACAAGGAGGTTGGAGAGGGTGGGGAGGATAAAGAATCAGGGCCATCACAAGGGCCATTTTTAATGCCATTACCAAGGCCATCACTTACAGTGATGATGAATGTCTTTTTATATAGGCATGTGCTGGATTTAATTTTTGAGGAATTTGTTAATATATTTTGATTTGATGTGTAATTAAGGTGTAGATGAGGGAGGTGGGGTGCCAGTGAATTAATACCTTTTGTTCCTGCATGCATAGCAGCTCTGTCGGGCGGTGATGTCTTGATAAGCTGTAGAGGCAACTATTAGTCTAGCAGTAACTAATCCATTAATTCTTGCATTATCAAGTGTGTAAGTTCAATGTATGGAGTTTTCTTATAATGGTATAAGAGGTCTTCAGTAAGATCAAAATGAGAGCACAAATAGACTTAATTCTAGGAACTTGATCAGTGTGATTGAGCCAGAAAGTTTGTATTGTGGATCTCTGTGAAACTTTGATTTTTCAGGGCTGTGGTGTGGGCATAAAATCACTTTTTWATTTCATGGGCTCTTGATGGAATAATAGTGGGCCTATGAAATAAACAAATAAAACTTTGCCAGTCTTRATGGTTGCCTAATTTTGGCTCATACGGATATTCTCATTGTCCTAAAGCACTCCTCCTGTATGGCACTATATGTATTCATTGTTAAAATAAATACGAAGAAATAGAAATAGTATAAAACCAAACCTTCTTTAAACTGCAGTGAAACTTTGTATCAAACGTGAGCWTAGTAATGGCTCCTTGGTGAGCCTGATTTAAAATGTTTTGGTGTAACATTGAAGATTTTTGAACTTTTTTTTTGCCATTTCCTCCTCTATGCACTTTCATCGCTAGCAGCATCAGTGGTAGATTTCATTACACCCAAGCAATGAAATTTCTGTTCTTCCTGTATAGTACTTTCTGTGGACCATGAAATTATTTGCCTGTATGGAATACTGAGAGGTATTAACTTTTCTGAAGTACTATCAATGTATAATTCAAAAGGGAAGTATATGTAGAATATCCACACTGTACTGCTGTGCAAGTCTTGTTGTGAATTCCCTTTTGTTAATGTATGGGAGCCTTCTTTTTAGACTGCATTGTTTTAAATTATTTAAAGTAATTAGTTTGACACATGTTTAAATGTGCTTATAATCCTGTTATCTCAATTTGTCTTACATATTTTGCCTGATCAAATATATTCCAAAATGTAATTTCCTCCTCTAGGATGAGTGCTATAGGACTTGGTGGATATGGAGCMTATGAATGTTGTAGCATAATGTGTAATGATGCAAAACATCTACTATACAGTCTGGCATTCAAAAGAAACTTAAGACCAAAACATAAACTTAAAATGGCAACAAGTGAAATATTTCTTTTCAAGGAGTAATAGGCTCTCCTCCCTGAATAAGGGCTGTCAGTTTCTAGTGGACCTCTGGGRCTATATGGGGTATTTCATGGTAGCTCTGCCTGTCCAGAGCTGCTTTTGCTTCTGTTGTGTGGAATAGGAGAAGGAAGAGGAGACACTTGGGGAGCACAGACTTTTAAAAGCTTAAAGGGTAAAAAAGGGACTGAGATTTTTTCAGGAAATATTGGAAAAGAAAATTAGGGCTCACTTAAACCTAATTTGTTCTCTGTTCACTGATTCATGGGCTGAAATCTGTTATTTTGGCCTGAGTGTCTTCCCTTTACACCTGCTTCAAGCMTGCATGTGAACCATCTGCAAATACACTGGCTTGTGTCTTGGGTTATGCCGTTTRTAGTGAAGATGTGGGGCATGGGGAAACTACTGGCTAGCTCATTTTTTGGAGGAGCCTGTCATCAGTGCTCTGTGAAAGACATTGCTTGAAAAGAAAAATCTCATATAATAGGATTGTTTTTCAACTCCAGTGTCGTCATTTCAGTATGAAGTCTGGCTTCATCCCCCCACCATGCTTACCATAGATTTCTGATTTTAAAAACAGGAAAGGAAATTGCTTTCTAGTCAAGATGTAAGATAGTTTTGCCACTGATGACTCTCCACTTCCAGTGATGTTACCCTCCCTTTTGCTTTTGTTGCATTCTTTTTTCTTCCTGGGTCTTGCCTATGTAATTATTCATGTAGAGTGTGCTTTTCTTCATTGCCTGCTGGTTTGATGTGACACGGAAGGGCCCCATCATCTTTGCTGAGMTCTTTTATGTTTATTCTATATTAATTTTCTGTTTTGCATGTTCTACAACCATCTGTGAGTGGCTTAGAATCTATGTTCCAAAAACTGTTTCTTTTCAGTTTTGAACAGGAAGAATTAGTCTTTATATTTTTCCTCTAAACCTCTCCTCATGGATGTCTGATAGTCAATTCTTGCTCTGACTAGAGTGGAACACTTGTACTCAATTTTTGCTACTGATTTTCTTTACTTTCTCTGGTCTTAATTCCACAGATGGTATAATAATTTTACTTGTCATTTAGGYTGGTAACTGATGTACTTGTCTCAAGATACTTATCTTAAGGATATATTGAAGCCTCAGAATATTTTTGCATAGCATTCCAARACAGAAGTCTGTTGATACGGTTGAAATCTTTTCCAAAATCTCTTATGCATCAAATGTTACCATAACTTTCTTTTGTGTTTTCAAGTGTGATGCTGCTGTTCATAACTGTTCAAAGGGTTTCTACAAAGATGAAGATGTAGTGCATCTCATTACGTGTCAGCTGCTTGTGCATTCTGTTGGTCCTTGCCTATGTACCTTAAAACACACAAGCTCTAGCAATGAAAATGTTTCATTTAGTGACTCTTAATCAGGAAGTTGATAAATATCTAACCAGTTAAAAACCTCACAATGCTAACTACTTTTCCAAAGAATGCTTTTGACTTTTGAAAGGGTAATGCTAGAAAAATTGACGTGTCCTGGGGTTTAGTCGTAAGGATCAATCATGAAATCATAAATATACCCTATGTAACTTTAATAGTGGAGTCTACAGTTTCTCCAAAATGAATTTCTAAATAATTGGAACAAAGGCACTAAATTTTGTATAGCATGAGGCAAATAGGAAAATAGAACCATGTCTTAGTTACACTAACTTGTGTAACTTTCAATAAAAAAGTAGTTTCAATAAAAAAGTAGTCTTTCAATAAAAAAGTAGTTTCTTTGCCTGTCTATATATTCTGTTGCCATGTTAGGAGTACAGCTGTTTCAGAGTAACTAAAACCACTTTAAAGCTATACTTCTGGTAAATAAGCCTGCTTTCTCATATTCTACATGTAATGCTTGGAAAGAAATCTTCATAAATTGTTTCATACATATCTATTTCTCCAAACTTTCTGTAAAACTCTGATGTTTTGCATGATTTCTCTGTAATGTAATGGAATTCTGGTYGGTTAACTCAAGTGTTAGGCAGCTGACAATCATACGTATCTTTAGAAAAACTCTTTAGAATAAGGCAGTTAAATAACAGGTAAGCTACCACAGAAAAATAAGCATGTTTAACTTCCAAGAGCTCCCATCTTGATTAGGATTATAGAGAATGGAAGCAGTATGTGAAATGTTCCACCTTTTGTGTTTTCAGTTGGATCGATTTGCCAGTATAAGAATTCCAAGAAGTAAAAAAGAAAGACCTCCTCTGCCACATATGAAGCAGTCACATTCTACAGATTGGTCATCCACACCCATGGACCCAGAAGATTTTGCTCCAAAACCGCTGTCAGAAAGAGAAATCATAGCACTGTTCGAAAAAATGATGGTAAGAGTCTAACACTTTCTTTTACTTAAAGAATGTGACTACATGATAGGTGGAGCACATATTCTTTTGTGCATRTATTCTAATCTTTACCTTTATTATCAATATTATTGTTGTTTTGAGTTATAATTATGTGGTTATTTAGGTGTTTCTTAGGGAATAAAGTACGAAGTAAGATTATTCAACACATTTTGAGGAGGAACAAGAAATGGGGGATCCTGCTTCCTTTCAAGATGATCTGAAACTTTTACAAAGATATTTGATGCCTTCAAATGTCACAGCAGCATTTTGTTCTGAATTTATATGCCATGTCACTCTTGCACAAAAAGATTTGGCTCCAAAGCAGCATTTGTCTGCAAATGCAGCCTCAATTTTGCTTCTTTCCTTAGCTGTCATTGTTAGTTCACTACAAAAGAGCAGTCACAAAGACCATGTGACATTGGTGGCRCCTCAATAGGTTGAGCTTTTTGTCGTGATGATGACATTTTAGGCAATTGAAAACTAAACATGGAATGGCCATGAGAAAAGAGTGACTGAAATCAAAGAGCACAAGAGAACATTAAGAAGGAGAATGATGCCTAGATTATTATTTCTTTCTTTGCCTCACAGCAAATAGCAAGTAACTCTTGAAACACAAAGGGACTACCAGGGCCTGGGATGTGGAGGAAATGTACTATGAGAGAAATACCTTTATGGAATTTGTACTTCTTAGTACTCAGTGGTGATAGTTTAGTTTTCAAGAAGCTTTTGTAGAACTCTTGAGGACTATAATTGAGAGATAACATTCAGGATTTTTGTGGCTAAGCTGGTGAAGGAAAGAAATAATTAACTTTTTTATTTGTACTCAATTTTGCCTCACGGTTCATTTTTCTTGGTGTGCTTTGATGTCTTSCTTCTGTTAGAAATTTCACTGTAAATGGTAGTTGTTCAAATGTTAGGAAATGGGAGAATTTTTAAAATAAAACTTGAAGGTGTGCTTCCTTCCGCACACCTCCTCACATAGATTGTATTTCTCTGCAATCCCACAGATGTTCTTCTATAGGATAGTTTGATCTTATACTATGCCATAAATAAATGGAAACTTACAATAAATCCTCAGAAACCTACTTCTGTGTGTCTAGATAAATAGAAATACTTATATCCATGGATCCTGAAGTAATTAATTCCAATTTTAAAACTACTTTGCAAAAATGTGCAAAGTACTGATGACATCCRGATAGTTTGAATGCTTTCCTAGTTCCATTAAATAGCAATGCACTTAAACTTGTATTTGATAAGCTACTTTATCAGTGTTGTTTTATCTATAACATGAACTACAGAAAGGATTTTTCAGATTATCCACATTTGAATGGACTGGAATAAAGCTAGTTTAGTCACAGTAGATTACATTACTAATTATATATTGTAGCCTCTAGTTTGCTGTTCTGATCAAATTAAGTGATTTGGGGGCGTCGATTGGTGAACAATTTGAATGTTGTAGCCAAGCTTTTAGAACTAATTTTGCCCAAAAAGAAATACAATGTGTCAGTACTGAAGGGAGAAGTTTTTAAATTCTGAGGGTTTACTGAATGTCCTTCTTGGGGTTTTCCTGGATGCATATGGCTTCCTTCTCCCAATATTTTATGCAGTGGCTTCCTGTGTGGTTTTCATGGCAAAAATTATGGAAGAGCYCATAAAACCAGGCAGATAAAGCTAAACTCTCATTTAGCCCTTTTCATTTCTGTTCATGTTATTAGGAAAATATCCATGTGAAATGATGTATTCTTACTTTCTAAAGCAGTATTGCTCACCTAGAATAAATAAATAAATAMATTTCACTTATTTAAGAAACAAAAGGATGGAGCTGAAGTATTTTGTAAACTAGGCAATATCTGATGTCACCCTTTTATCGCTGAATACTTCTAATCTGTGTAAATCAATTGTCTTAACGATGCTTCATTTGTTAAAAACAAGGACAAAGAAATTAGTTTTTGCTGCACACACAGAGATATTGTTTCCCATAAATTAACCTACTGTTGTATCAAGGCTTATGGAATACACTTTGTGTTGACAGTTTTCTTAATTCTCGAGCGGTTTTTGTGTTTAGAAGCTACTTTTCAGAAAACGTAAAAGAGCAAGTCTGAAGGAAACTCCTTTAAACAGAAGAATGAACTTTGTAATAGGTACATGCGGAAGTAAAAAAATGCTTTTCACATTAAGTTTAGATTCACCAAAATTATCCCAGCTGAAACCAGGACAGGAGTCAAGCATTTTTTGCCAGAACTTCTCATAGCTTGGATTTATACAGAAGTGCAGAYGTTTCTAGGAATTGTGCTTGATTCAGTTCTATTCAGCATGAAAACTATTGAAAGACAAGGAAACTGAAGTTTTGGCATAGTATGAATTCTAAGGTTTGTCTGTGCTGTTTGTCTTTGATTTCTGACTAGATGAAATAACTTTGATATTTAGATGGTTGCCCACTGATTTTGTAGGATTGCTCCTGCCAAAGCTKATGGGGATTCACCTCATGAGTCTCAGCTGAAAATAACTGCAGTAATTCTTTCTAAGCTTGAGTAATGCACATAGTAATGCAGTATCTGCTTGTATATGTCTGTGCCAAAATTGTTAATAATTAATTTTTTTTTCTTTCTTAATTTTTTTTTCTTTCTTCATTTTATTCTTTATCCTACACTGTGATAGGAAATTCCATTTCTCACAGATGTGCAACTGATTACAATGATCAGAGCATTTCTAGGCTGGAACAGTRCAACTCCCAGTGTCAGAAATGTTAGTGACGTTTGGAAGTGTCACTTGAGTGGYTTTGAGTGTAGGTCTGTTTCAGCTCTCTTTGACCTCTGGACTTATGTTGGAGTGAATSAATTGCGATGGGGTTTTGATAACAGTTGAAGGTGTTGATTTACTCTTTAAAATTTGGGCCTTGCTTATTGCAAAGGTAAATATTATTTTGTGAACTAGTTTCAGTGCAAACAGATTCTGCTGCCRAAGCTTAAGTATTTGGGGACAGAAGAAGAGAATTATGAAACAAGTTAAAATTAAAAGTTAAAATTTTAATACGTAAAATACTGGTTTGAGTACATTTATAAATGTTTTGGGATGTATTAAATAATGCTTTTTTTGCAGTTTAGTGCATGTATGTGTGTGAAACTGTAGGTCTTTTCTGAGAAGAGTGTGTACTAATAATGGTTGTGTTGCACTTGTTCATCCCAGCATAGTGGACTGGTTTTTTTTTTTTCAGTCTAAGTTCAGAGGGAAGTTGGATAAGGATTTTTTATGGTTTTTATTAACATCTTGTGAAAAGTTGTTTGTATAATAGCTTTCAGTTGTCTAAGTTTGTGTTCTTGTCTTTTTTAAAGTCAGTTTCTTATATTTGAATCACTCTGCTGCTGTATGACATTTAAGATTGTTTTTTTCTTTATTTTTCCTCTCCCATTCTAGGAAGATATGAATTTGAATGAAGACAAGAAGATGCCATTGAGAGAAAAGGATTTTAATACCAAGAAAGAAATGGTGATGCAATATATTAGCACTGCTTCAAAGTCTGTAAGTAAATGACTTAATGCTTACATTATTTCCTGTTGGAAAAGTGATGCATGTCTATTAYATTCCTTTGACTTCTGTTTCTCGTAGTGCCCTTTAAAAATGCTTGTATCTATCTCATTACTTTGCAAGATACAATGGCAGACAGTCACTTGTACTTGAAATGTCTTCTACACACAAACCAGCATTTCTCTTTTGTAAAGGTATGGCTAAAAGTGGAGCTGGAAAGATTCTGCAAAAACTTCTTGCAGAAGTTGTGTGAGAACCTTTTCCTTTTCTAGCATTATTTAAAAATAATTCCTCAACTGATGAGTCTTTTTAATGCCTGACTTAATAACAGAATTCATGTTTGATGCTACATAATAGCTGATAACAAAATTGTTGTACACAAAACCAATTATTGTCCATTTTTTACCTATAGAGATAATGATTGGGTTGTTTTCAAGCAGTGCAAAGAGTTGTATATACGGGCCAGATTAAGGATGCAGTTGGCATAAGAAAAACTGCTTAGTTTTTGCAAAGTGAGAACTGACTCCCGTGCTAAATGCTGCATAGCTAATCCCATCCTCAGGTCTTCTGAGTGTTTTAGAATTCATATGTTTGAATCTTCGACTCTCACTGCTGAATGAGACTAGAGATACCAGTAAAAATTGCCTCTATGTAATTGTAATTCAGTATTGAGAAAATAAAACATTAATGATAGTTATTTAACTGAAAAAATTATCTTACTGTCTACTTTAAATGACATACCTTATTAGTGTAATACTCTAGCACTTTTAGGAAGGTAGGTATGCCTAGTGCAGGACTGAACTGCCTGGAGATAATTTTATTTAAGATGAGTTCATTAAAGATRCTAGTTCTTCTATAGCATAACAGGTTCTTAATATCAGAAGATTAGGTCTAGCTTATTTTTCTTTTTTAGAGCTATTGCATGGGAAATCAAGAAACTTCAGACTAGTAAATGTCACAATATTCTTGGGGTTTATCTGCCCAAAATACTATGGTGAGGGTTTATTTATCATTGACACCTCTAGCCTCCATGTGTATTTTAAGACCTCTGTTGTTAGATCTAAAAAATAATGTGATATTATGAGATGATTGGTTGTGCAAAGTAGCTGCATTCACATCTGTTGCTGGAATCATAGCATATTGATARTGGTGGTGATGTTAAGGCTCTTTTTGTCAAGTGCTCTTGTCAGTGTTKCCTGGCACTTAAAACTTGCAAAGAACTATATGAACCTATATGACAAAGTAGAGAAGAACCTATATGACAGAGTAGGTTTCATTTATCCTTTGCGAGTGCCATTTGCAATTTTCCTTTTGTCTTTGTATGTCATCACACTTGTGTTTCCGCAATGGAGCTTCTTGCACTAAGCCCAAGGTACTTTGTTGGAGAGGGCAGGTCTGTTTCCTCCCCAGAGCGGTGCTTTGTTTCCACACACTGTTGTCTTGAGTGTTTTCCTAAAGCCCCCAACAGCATTTTCTCCTTTCTGTTCCTTTCTTCTGCTGCTAGCCCACAWATTCTGGTTGCTGCAGTGGGAGATCATTACAGACCAATCCATTCAKGGAAACTTGTCCTTCCTGAACTCTGTTTCTGTGCTTGTGTCCTAACTGGAAGTGACATTCATCTGTTATGTAACTGGGAGAAGATGTTTCTGGACACATAGATTCAACTGTTTGATAAAGTAGTGCTGCAGATGATTTCAGATTAGTGCTGAAGCTACTGGGATGGGAAATTCCTTCTCTTACCTTTGAAAACTCTGTTCCTGGCATGCTCCTTCATTTCTCAGGTTTGTTGGAGGTAGTACCTTCTGAGTATAGAGAGAATAGTGCCCTCATACCACTCAGCTAACTTTTGGTGTACCTTGACTTCATGAAAGTGTTGCACTTTTCCGGAACATTTGAAATACCATGTAGCTCCTGACTATTGTGTGCGACTAATCCCATCTTAGCCTCTCTTTCTGTAAGTGATACTGGAGCAACTTATTTTGATAGTTTATACTTTTCAAACTTTAAGGAGATGGGTACTAAGATTTTACATTGGTACGAATATCCTCATTCATAACTGCTATGCTAGTTAAACTGCTTTTAACTTCATTTAAAGCAGTTACCATTTAAAAAACTATTAAAATGAAGAACAGAGACTACTCCTAATGAATCAATGAGAATGAAACAGTGTCTGGTGATCGAAGTGGGCTCTACTATAAACAAAGCTTGATCATTGACCGCAGTATCAGGGTTTCTCTTTCTTAGAAGTGCGCATCTCCTTTCTAATAATCACAAAGTGCATGTCTTTGCATGATAATACTTTCTGAAAAGAGACGTTTTGAAAATAAATTTCCATGTTATGGTGTTAATACTAAAGTGGTAATAAAAGCAGTGTTGCTATCATGTTGCTCTACCACAGGTTTTGCTGTTTAATATGTTCAAAACACACAAACTGKGTTTTTAAAGTGAGTTTTCTTCTCAAGGTTTTGTTTTTGTGGTTCACATTGCTTCATTGTAATTTTTTAACTAGATTAATTAATGCTGACTTCATGCTGCATCTGCTCACAGACCAGTTGTTCTTCAGTTGAGCAATTAAGTTTCTAGAGGCATTGATGCCTCAAGATATTTCCTGTTGTTYAGTTAACTTGATCATTTTGAACTTAAGCAGCTTTTCCCATGCTGAAATACAGCTAATATAATCAGTTTCACAATTGGTACCAAATGCAGCTCTCATTTTATTTAAGTACTGGCAGATGTATCATATTCTTATTATGTTGCAGAACTTTGGCATAACTATGAATAAGTGGTACTTGGCACTGTGGTAGTTTGTTGTGCAGACATTCAGTTTACTGATTCTTTTGCATAGGGTAATGTTCCAGTGGGGAACTGAGTCTGAAATGGGATGACTGGTTATTCTCTGGATATTGATGTGAGTCTCCACTGCTTGTGGTGTTGTTTTCAGATGGTTCACATGAGGCTTTCTGAAATGTCATTCTAATAAATTCTTCTAGTCTGGCTGGTCTCTTGTCCCATGTGGCCTTTCCACTGCACACATTGCTACTCATTATAATAAAGTCCTTCCAAAATATCTGCTAACCATCTTAACTGTATGTCCTGTCTGCCTTATGACTGTCCTATATGACTGTGCATCAAAGGAAAGCAATTTTACTGAAGACTTATAAGTATTTTGGTTAAATCAGTTTTGTCAATTTTACAGCAGCAACTGCTGGGAGAAGTCACTGGAAATGACAGATTCTCCACACAGGATATTAATCCTTATGCTTAGGCATACAAGTAGTGCCTATCAAGTAGTCTGTGCACATCAGGAGCTGCCAACAGAATTTCTGGGACTTTATGAAATTTCCAACCCTTTTGTAACATTTAGTTAAATACTTTGTTTTGAAGGCTGCTAGGAGTTTGTTCATTTTGTTGCTAGTAGGTCTGTTATCTTCTAAGAAAAAACCAGCTGGAAAGATCCATGAAAAAAACCTGAAAACACTTGACTTAATTTTTGTTTGTGTGAACATTTATTGTTACAGTTTCCTAGATCTGTCTTCTAGATTCTCTCCTCAACCCTTGTCCCTTGCTGTACATCTCATCTACTTCTTTTGTGGAACATGGTTATTGGAAGTTACTCTCATACTTAAGCAAGTAGGGATCTTCATCAACTCAGAGGTGTGTTTGGAATGGCATTCCATGTACTACACATGTTGTTTCAAAATATAACATGAAATGCTAGGTTTTTGGGATGATTCCTGGCAGTAGTCTATTTTTTGGAGTCTGAAGAATCTGTTTATCAAGTCTGGGGAAATATAGTTGGAGTAGAGACTATTAATAGCCTTTCATGTTCTGTTGTCACAGTCATAGAATAGAATGAGACTGGAAGTGACTCTGGACATAGTCTCTTCCACTTTCTTATCTGTTCCATTTTTAATGTCTCTGATAAAGGATACGGTTTGATACAGATCATATCAGATAGATATAGTCTGTGTCTGATACAGAGTATCAGATACTCTGATACAGTATTGCCTGAGTGACCTCTTCGGTGCTTGATCAGCCTCCTGCTTTAAAAAGCAGAGGGAGAAGGGGAAAAGTTTGTGTTTGCCTGATGTTTACCCAGTTTCCTGTATTTCAGTCTGTGCTTCTTGTGCTTTCACTGATAGGGTTTCCCCATCCTTCCCATCTTCTCTTCTTAAGCAATCCCAGTTCATTAGCCTCTCCATATACTACAGATTTTCCTGTAATTGTGTCCACAACCCTTTCTGGACTCATTCTAGTATCCATATCTTTCATGCTGGGGAGTCAGGAACTGGACAGATTTCTCCAGATGACTCGCCGCTGCTGAGCTGAGGGGAGGGGTCATATGCCTCTACCAGCAGGTGATGCACTTACCTGTRGTCAACCTTTAATCCATCATAACCCCTATTTTCTTTCCAGCCTGCATTCCAGCTGGTAGCCTCAACACGTGTTAGTGCATGGGATTTTTCCACTTCAGGTTCAAAATTTACAGTTTTCTGTTGTGGAACTTCCTGAAATTCYTCTGCCCATTTTTCCTGTCTGTTGATGCCCTTCTAAATGTCAGCTCAGCAGCCTGGTCTGTCAACCACACTTCCCAGCTTTTAACTTCACTTCTCAGCTAGAAACTATTTAATTGTCTTCTGATTCGTGAGAAGAAAAGATTATCTCTCAATATTTCCTGGGGATCTAACAAAAGGAGGAAACATCATCTGTATGAAGCTGTCTCTAATAATGTAATGAGACTCCACCATTTACACTGAATAAGTTCAAGTTATTATTACAGTGCAAGTCTAATTCTCTTCAATTCCTGACTTAAGCCACTAGTTAATCAAGAATTATTCAGTAGGTCTCTTTGTGCAACATGACAGTTGTGCTTCTGTTCTTAGAAAAAGGAGTCTTGCAATGAATTAACTCAGATCRAAGTTTTATACACTATTGTATGCTTGGTTTTTTGTATTTATATATGTTCTGTAGAAAATATATCTATCCATCATGTGAAATATCAGGCGGACTACACTTCTTATTTTTCAGTGTCTACAAGAATGTCTACTTCTGTAAGAACAGAAGTTACTGCAGTAATACACCAAATATTTTTCTGCTGTTGCTGCTTCTTCCCTCTGTGTGCTTATGTGACTTCAGTCACCCTTCTGGACATGTGCCCTGTGATCTCTTCAGAGAACCTAAGAGTTGTTTTTTTCTTCTGTCGAATATTTAATATTAAGATGTTTGTAATGCATAAATGGAATCCATTCAACACAAAAATTTTATTTCACTGAGCATGTATGATAAATTTGTACATTTGATGCCTGCTGCTTTTGTGTACTGATTGTAAATTTGGTTGTAAAATGACCAGATTTAGTCAGCATTTTGTAAGTAGTTGGCATCAGTTTCAGGTTTACAGGTCTACATTATGTATATTTCAAGGAACAGAAACAAAGGTTAGCCATGAATAATCTATTCAAGTTCTATATGCACCAAGTAAAAAACAAGTGTATTTTATGTGTTCCAGGGAAGTCTCAAGAACAGTAGGAAGATTTCACCCCAAGAATTTATTCAGGATTTAAAATCTGGGTCAACGGATGAAAGACTAGTCACTTGCTTGGAATCTCTCCGTGTGTCCTTGACTAGTAATCCTGTCAGGTAACATCATTAATGCATACTGAAGAGATTAATCATATTCTAATTTCTTAATGGATTATAATTAATGGATATATAGATGTACATGTTTCAAGGTTTTCCAGTTAATGACTGTGTATGCATTAATGAATGATTGTAACTTTTTTCTTTTTTTTTCATTGATTATGTATCTGTAGGTATATTATTTCTAATAGAGTTGACTGATCTATACAAGGTAATACTAAGAGAAGGTAAATTAACTGTGGTGAAGAAGCAGTTTACTTTGCTTTTTAGTGCTAAGTAGTCAATTTTTTTTCATTTTTATTTTTGAATTATTTTCTAACTCTTTGATCTTCTAACTTATTTTTGTCAGGGTGATCAATAAAGGGAGATATTTTGGGTTTGAAAGCATCCAGTTATATTTACTTTTATTTACGATTTTCTTTCATTGTGACTAGTCTTTGAAATGTCAATTTTTTTAAATGCCTTTTTTCTTTCATTCTAGCTGGGTTGAAAACTTTGGCCGAGAAGGTCTGGGACTGCTGTTGGATGTTTTGGAAAGATTAGTTGAGACAAGAAAGTAAGGATTTAATATAAGATTGTAAGCTTTTCTTAATATTTAAAGAGCATTTATTTACTMTAAATTTTTTATTTATTCAGCCAGGACAGAGTTGTGAAGAAGAGTCAGCACAAGGTTATACAGTGTTTGAGAGCCTTCATGAATAATAAGGTATGGGATTTTATTTAGTCTAGAAATCTAAATTACTGCAGTTCAGTTAGATAAGGTACATGACGGGTGAAGTGGTGGGTTGGTCAGTTGTGGTTTGAAGTTCTTTCTCTCTGCCGGAAGTCTTCCACTTCCTCTCTGCAGAAATATTCTAAGACAATAATGTAAATTTTTAATGCTGATATATGCCCTTCTTACAGAATAAGTGACCTATTTGGGACTTTTCTCTCACTTAATTTGTTAATGAAGTATTTCACAGACTTAAATGTCATTTGAAATACTTACTTGAGGGAACCATCACTGTTATTACTAGACACTCAATATTCATTTGAATTGCCTTCCTTATAAATGTTCTTCTGCTGTTTAGTATGGATTGGAAAGAATCTTGGGAGAAGAAAGGAGCCTTTTGTTGCTGACCAAAGCAATTGATCCCAGGCAAACCAACATGATGACAGATATAGTTAAACTCCTGTCTGCAATGTGCATTGTTGGAGAGGAAAAYATGTAAGTACTGTCTTTAAGCAAGAAAGCAAGAAATAGTGAGGTAATTTTACAATATCCCAAATTATAGTTATACCTGAATTAAATGATTTTCTGTGTAGGTTTGAAAGTAATATCTATTATATTATCAGTTTTCAGAATAGCTTTGTGATTTTTTTATTGTGGTCATATTAATGAGTTTCCTGCTTGACATGTGGATGTACTGGTTAGATGGAAATAGTTATGCCTCAATTCTTTTGCTTAATATTTATTAGTATAATTTTCGTAGACCTGGTAATCTGCTAAGTCATTCTTCGGTTAAAAAAGTCTCTGAAGAAAACAACTTGATGAGTATTGCTTAAACTTCCTAAATTTSTTTATAAGAAATTGAGGCAGGTGAATGATTTAGCAATATGTCTTTTCAGACAGCAAATGAACAGGTTTAAATATTTCTTCTGAATGAAATGGTTTTCTTTTCTCTCAGCCTTGAAAAGATTTTGGAAGCTGTAACGGCAGCAGCAGAGGAAAGGAATGTTGATAGATTCTCTCCTATTGTAGAGGGTCTTCAGGATAACTCAGTTCAGCTACAAGTAAGGTTTTCATTTGTTTGTTTATTTGTGGGTTGTTGTGGGGTTTTTTCTTTTTTTTACAAACCACTTCAACAAGTAAAAATAAAATAGTGTATTTTTTCTGAACTGAACATCTCATTACAATAAAAAGGTGATGCTGTTTCAAATAGGAGTCAAATTTTGGAATGTTGATAATTTTGTCTTCTAAATTGTGCCATGRAAAGATTCAGTCCTGAGAAATAAATGGGTGTTGCGAGTTCATTTGTTGATTTCTATTAATCAGATCTTACCTTTGCAAGTCAAAAGACAGTATAAATTTAAAATAAAGGATAAATCATATGCTTAGATGCAAAAATATTTTCTCACTTCTAACAATATTTGTTGAAACTTTAGATGAATAATAGTAAAAAAGCAACTTTGTAGGCAACTGTATTTTATAATTAGTGTTTAAAATCATTGGAAGGTCTGTCCCTCATGCTCACTTTATGATACCTTAAAATTGCACTGAGAAAGTCTGAGGAAAGAAAATTTTCACCTTATTTTCAATTTGCTTCAGTTGGATGTAGTGCGTTTGAATGGTCATTATAAATCATTGGTCTGAAAGTATAGATGTGAATTCATTGATATTTATGCAATTTAGTTGAACTGAAATCTGCTCATAATTGTAATTCTTTGTGACTATTATAAAAATGGTAAAAGATGAATCCAAAATTTGAGGGWAATTTTTGCATTGCTCAGCTTTTATATTAAATCGTTCATATCTCATATAAAAATTGCTGTTTGTTTCATCTGTCTCATAGAAAAGATAACTGTGAAGGAATATTTGAAGGTGGAAAATCGTTCATAATTAAATTTTGCCAGTGCCAATGGAATTATCTCGTGAAGAATTGTCCCTTCTTCCTTATGCCTTCTATCTTCTAATCATAGAGCTGTATGGATTGGAAGGATCTTTAAAGACCACTTTTAAAGCTTCCAACCCAGCTACTATGAGGGGGYATTTTTTGCATCTTTCACCAGACCACGTTTCTCAAGGCCTGGTCCAACTTGACCTTGACCTTTTCCAGGGGTGGGGCATCCACAATTTCCCTGGGCTATCCATACATTTTCTGGGATATCAGAAAATGCCTGACATACCAGTTTTCCCCTGGGATATAAAAAAAAATTTCTGAGATATCAATCTTTTCCTGGGATATCAAAACATTTTTTAAAATATTTTGATTCAATAGGGAGAAATGCTTTAGATCTTGAAATTTATTTTCCAGTTTCAGGATATTGTATCTAAGTTAAGAGAATTTAAGAGTCTCTGTAGAGTAATATAAGGGTTTGAGCAGGATGTTGCTTTTAGTGTTAGGCTTTCAAATGTGATGCTGAATTTTCAGGGCTTGTGTATATTTGCATCTTTGTAGGTTTGATAAAGAAAAAAACTACTGTAAATTTAATAAASAAAAAAGTTACTATCTGTAACTTCCTTTTCTTTATAATTGAAAATGCATATGAAACTCTCCTAAAAGCAGCCCATTACTTTATTTGAAGCCTCAGGTAAATTAAATTAATCCTATGCATGTTTCTTTTTACCCATGATGAGTACCCACTGTTTGCAGGAGTGCTCAGCTCAATTAGTGAGATACCACTGGAGAAACAAACAGATCAGTGCAGAAAACTTCATCTGAGTTACTTATGCAATAGCAACTTTTGTTTTTCTAGGACTTCTCTTCAGATATTAAAAAAGTTTGTTGCTACTAGTTATGCCTTCTCTCAATTGGGCTACCCCTCCATTAGGTATTTTGTTATCCTCTGATATAGAAGATARAAGCATTGTTAAAAATGACAATTTACTTTAAATGTTACAGTTGCAATACTTCTAAAATACTTATGCTAAATATATTCATTTGGCTTTGCTGAGAGTGTTAGCCTAAAGTTCCTGCGAATAGCTAATGTTTTGCTGTTTCATTTGCTGTATCTTGTGTAGACATGGAAACTTATTAAAAGTTCTTTTCTGGGTTGCAGTGGTTTTTTTCTTTGTGGTTTTTTTTTTTTTTTAGTTAAACTTTCATTAGAGGATGTTCCTTCTGCTAAAAGGCTTTTTGATATTTGCTTTTCCCGACTTTATAAATGGTTGCTAGATTTCTTTTTTAAGGCCAGAAAAATCAAGGTTCCTCATGTGAATCAGCTGTAAACTTTTCTAACAATGACATTGACCTGGTGGTTAATTTGACAGTGTTTTAATGAGACAGAAGTTTACAGTTGTCAGTTACTTGGCATACTTGCCTTGATTGTCTGCTTGATGTATGTATGCTTGCTTTGTGGCAGTTCAATTTGACACTAACAACTGACCTTTTCAATTTTGAATTGACATAACATTTCTGTTACTAAAAGACTGAATACATAAAAGGCCTCAGTAGGGTGATTTTTGTATTTTTAGTGAAAGCTCAATCTATTTTTTGCATTTGGTGAAAGCAAAATGTACTCTCTCTTCCATAAAACCCAAAATTATGGAAAGAATACTTAATTGATTTTTGTTCAAGACAAGATTAGTGATCTTATTCTGAGAATATAACTACAGSCAGGAATAATGTCAAGTTTCTGGTTTTGTAAAAGTAAATGTATTTTAACATCTTAAGCCTAAAACACATACAGGGTGTACCTTGTACATTTATGGTGACAGCTGAAAAACTGTAATACTTTGCTTGTTGAAGTTATGGAGGCAGGCAGTACAGCTTTTCTGGCACAACCYGTTTTGATATGTAAGAAAGTGATGAAAACATCAACAACTTGTTTGTTGCCTCCTTCTGCTTCTTCTGGTAGAATCAAATGAGTGCTTGTACTCTCCAATCATCAGCTTTCACCACTGCTTCTCAAAGAGGTGGTTTAAGTAATGGAAGAGTGCTATTTTTGMATGCAGATCTAGTTGTAGATGCCAGCTCCTCCTCCTTTCCAGTTAGGACTGAGGAGAGGTACAATGGAGAAGCAAAAATGCAATTTTTCCTTTCCTGGTTAAGTTCCTGAAAAATAAACACCATGCTTGCCTGTGAAAATATGCAAGTTTGTGCATGTCCGAGGAGAAACATTTTTGTGATAAAGTAAAAGAACTCATATTTTTGTGATAAAGTAAAAGGTATTTATTAGTAGCCTTATCTTCCAAGTATTTTCAGTTGTCAGGGAACACCATTAAATTTTTCTTTATAATTTAATAATATGACAAGGTGAGATGACTGTGGCATTTTGGTTTGCTGAATCACTTGATGATTCTTGGTTGCTTTGTGCTAATGAGGTCCTTCCATAACTGCCTCGTAAAAGGGTCCATCAGAACAAAGCTTACCTTACCTAAATGTCAAGAGTGAGTGAACTAATTTCAAATTATCATGATCTTGTATGATTTAAGTATTATATGCTAACTGGTAGTTAYTGAATTAGTTTCACTTGGAGCATGATTTAAATGTTTGTGGTCTACTACCAGGTTCTYGCTTTAGCCTTTAAAAAATATGTAAACTTAAAGTCTTTGTGATGGAATTTGCTCAAAGCTAGATGTATAAGCAATGCCTTGATTCCTTCCTCTTGCATAACTTTTTCTCATTCTGATTTTTGTAGACTTTTGTTTGAGACTTTCACTATTACTTTGTATTTCTACAGAAATAAATAGTTTGCTAATATTATCCAAGGGATCATTGTTTGTTCCACGAAGGCTAAAGTGTGTTCTCGTTATGAGTTGCAATTGAATGCCCACATGATCAAATTTGACTAGAAATACTAGATTAGCAATACTTCTTACTGACRAATGTCTTGCTTTTTGTTGTTGTGTGGCTGTGTTGGATTTGAATAGAACATGTGCACATGTACTGTGTAGATTTGGCAAATTAAGAGAAAGTAATTTTTTTKGGGGAAACAATTGCATCTGCAGACATCCTTTCACTGAAATTTTCTTGCTATCTCAAAGATAAAACTATAGTTTGCTCTTGGTCAGGATTTTCATAGTAGTACTTTTTCAGTCTCTGACTCTTCACTGATAGGTTAAATCATCCGTGATGAATGCTGTTTCTTGCTTAACAGTCCATTCACATAGTTTTGCAGGCAAACATACTGTGTTTTAAACTGCTGATAACAATAAAGGCTCCAAATTATATATAATCAAACAACATGGAGTTTTACATGTTTTGAAATCTAAATGTAACCTTGTAGTACTGTACTTTAGTACTGACAGTATGGTAGTGTTGCCCAGTGAAGCCTACAATCATTGAAATGCCTTACTGATGTTAACAGGAGAACAGGTGTTGGTGGCAGCTGTCAATGCACTGAATTACTGTTTTTGAATGGTAGAACTAATTGAATCCAGAAAATGCAATTGAATGAAAGATTTAGTACTCCAGAGAGATGAATTGGAAATGGTTTAACTTGTTTCAAGTAAATAAGATCASAATTAGGGGAAGTAAAAATTTTCATCTTGGCTGTTGAAGGGGAAGACAAATACTCATAAAGTGGAACCATACCAAAACAAATACAAAAAGCTTTAAGAATAAAGCCCACACTTAGATACTAAGATAATATATTCTGTAAGGTTTTATTGCACTAGATTTAAATGGTTTGGTTGCCTGCATTTTCTACAATTTGTTGCATCCAAATTCTTCTGTTGTGACATTCTAACTTGTGCAGTTTGTGGACCTAAAAAGTGCACCTGGTATTCAAAGCCAATAATTTAATTGTAGTCTAGGTTAAGTCTTAATGGTGTAATAAAATTGCTCTCAGTATGCTAACACATGTCCCATTCCACACCTACAGTTTTCTATGCTGCATTTGATTTAGGGTCATATTCTGTCCACTAGTTACCGAAATGTTTTTAACGGTAAACTTCATGCCAGAGACATACCAGGCTAAGAAAAATTTCCTTCTGGTAGTGTGCTAGTGATTCTGTTACTAGACAAATCCTGCTGTAACTAAATAAGCCACAACTGAGTTCCAGACAGGCAAGCCAAATCTTGTTAAAGCCTGAGAGGTCAGGAAGCATGGGGTGGTAGCTTCATGCCAGACCCATAGCCTGTTACTAGCCAAAAATAAGTGGGCTACAAAGCCACTTGTCCTAAACAATACTGTACAGGACTACAGATATATTGCAATATTCAATATGAGGAGCTTTTTCTGTGCCCAAAAATACATGATTGTGCAGCAGAACCTCTATTCTCTGTTGGGTGCTGTTGATACAATTCCTGGAAGATTTTGGAAAAGTGGACCGGGCACCTTAGGTGATTTCAAAATTTTTGTTATTGTTGTGTTGGTGTTTGGGTGTAAGAGAATTCTATTATTTATATTTATCTTTTGGTAGTTGTAGTTTYCTTTTCTGGGGTTAGCAGCCTTCTTTTTTACCTAGTATAGCGTGATCCTTTGGCAGTAACACACATATTAGAATGAATCTTAGGAAATAGTACTTAGGAAATAGTACTTGAACAGAAACAGGCTTCAAGAATAATACAGAGGTTTTGTTTTAATTTAAAGAATATAATTGATGAGTTAGCAAAGTCCTATTTTTCCTTAAGTTTCTAAAATATTGTAGRCATACGTACAGAAGCAAATTGTATAAAATGAGGGAAGAAACACATTTCAGGGAGGAAARGTATCATAAGAACTGTTCTGACAGGCACTGCAAAGATGAAGAATCCACTTTGACGGTTAAAGGCTGAAAATATTATCAATTTAGCAGCTTTATAAGAAAAAAAGAATAACCAAGGGTTGTTTCTTATTTAAAACTTTAAAGAAGCCCCAAGTCTGAAAGATCTTTCTCAAGGAAACATATTTTATTTAAGGCAAACCAGTCAAGGTTATGGTGTTGTTAGCTATATTCCTATTTTGAGTTATTTTAAAATTGTAATGCCAATACCTTCCTGAAAGAAAATACACCATAGGTGTATTTCTCTTTGATACGTGAAGTTTATTTTTACTCATCAGGTGATGATCTTATTGTTCTCACTGTAAAGAATATGGAGAAAGGACAGGAATGGGTTTTCATTGCCTTGCCATGTCTGTTAAACACTTCACTAAAAAAATAATACAAAGGCAGACTTACAGAGAGGCAGGGGGGAAAATGTTCRGAAACATTATTTTAACAGACTTACAAACACATAATTTTTGAGCCTTTAAAGCTTTTTCAAAATGAAACTTTTAACCATCAAATGTAATACTGTTTAATATTGGTAGAATTTTTAATTTGGTTACTTAGCGTGCTCTTTTCTACACTTTTTWAAAAAGTTTCAACATTTTGCAAACTTGTTTAAATTTTTGAAGTCCAGACTTAGGCCAGAGCATTCTTGGGCCTTTCAAGCAACTTTCATGGTTTCATAAAATAAGACTTTGCTTTACAAAGCTATTTATTTATACTGTCTATTTATTCAAGCTATTTTTTTATATTACTCATTCATTTTGTTTTCAGCTATAGAAAATATACCTGTACTGTAGAAAAAGTCAAGCTTACCAATCTGTAGTTGCCCAGATCTTTCTGAAAATGTCCTTTTAAGTGTTAGTATAATTTCTGCCATCTTCATTTTCTTCAGTGTCAATATGCATTTCAGTATAAACTTGGATGTAATAGCAAGTAAAGTTATGTTGTCCTCATTTTTTTTTAAAACTTTGACTGTTCGAAGAATGAATACTTTTTCTTACTTCTCATGTTGGCTTGGTTCTCTGAGTTCTGCCACCCTTGAGCCGGTTTGTCTCTGTTCTACTTTGTAATCTCCTTCCAGATACTAGTAGAACACTTCACAAGCTRTTTGTGTTGCTTTGTTTTCTTTGGACACTCCTTTTCACCATGGTCTTTTACTGACCCTGCAGATTCCTTTTCCTTCTTTTGTTWTTTTTGAGGAATTAGATGTGTTAATCATAGATGCTTTTTGCACATTGTCCTTCAATGTAATTCTCTCTCTTTTTGTCTCTGTTAATACATTTTCAGGTTTGATCAGTTAGTTTTGATTCCTCCCCTCCACTTGTGTTGTTTTGTTTTGTTTTGTTTAGATGATTATTGATTATTGACTAAGACTGAAGTAAGTTACGGAAGTCTACCTTAGCACTTATGCAGTTAATTTAAATAATCACTTTGAGTCATCTGTGCAGTTTTGGGCCCCAAAATACMAGAAGGACAGCAAACTATTAGAGCGTGTCTGAAGGAGAGCAATGGAGATGGTAAAGGGCCTTGAGAGGAAGCCATAGGGGGAGCAATGGAGATCACTTGGTCTGTTGAGCCCAGAGAAGAGGAGACTAAGAGGAAACTTCATCGCAGTCTACAACTTCTTCCTGAGGGGAAGAGGAGGGACAGATAYAGAAATCTTCYCTCTGGTGACCAGTGACAGGACCTGAGGAATGGCCTGAAGCTGTGTCMGGGGATTTTAAGTTAGATGTTAGGATTGGGTATCAGTTTTTCAACCAGAGGGTGGTTGGGCACTGGAGCAGCTCCCCAGGGAAGTGGTCACAGCACCAGCCTGACAGAGTTCAAGAAGTACATGGACAATGCTCTCAGGAACAAGGTGTGATTTTTGAGATTCCCTGTACAGGGCCGGGAGTTGGACTTGATAATCCTTGTGAATCCTTTTCCACTCAAAACATTCTATGATTTTATGAATTTGATTTAGAGTGCTTTTCCTTATTTATGTCAATAAAGTAAAAACAATAGTTTTCTTTTTTGTTATTATGCAAATCTATATATTTGCATGTACTGAATTTCATAGAAATTCTAAGGGAATAGAAATTAATCTCAGCTCTTTCTTCAAGTAAGAGGAAGGAGCAAAGCTTGTGCCTTCCATTTATTACTGTTTTAAAGTTATTGTTGATAAGAGGCATGTTGTATGACAGAGTAATGTAAAAATAGATGCTGTTGTGGCAGCTTTTATCCAGGAGAGGTGTTGGATGGGTTCATAAAATGGTTCCAACCACACCATCCTCCCTTGAACATTCTTATCCTTTCAGACATCCTCAAAAGTTGAAAAGATGGTCCCAACTCCTAGTGTAGAGTTGTGGGGCCATTGAAGTTCTCTTTTCAAGTGAATCCAAATACCATAATTTATGAGATTAAATGGAGAATGCTTCATGCTTAATTGGGTCATTCTAATGCTTTGTCCCAACAACCTACTGGAGCTCAATCTGATTTGATTTTCTCAGCAGGTTCACAGCTCTCCCGTTAACAGATTGTTTGCATTTATTACATCTCTGTTCTTATAACTAARCTGTTCTCTTCTAGAGTGTTAGCTATTAAGTTCATCTACATAGACTAACACTGCTGTCAAGCTGGCCTAAATTATGCCAATTGTCATATACCTCCATAACAGTTCAGCTGAAATAATATATAAAGCTACTTTCATGCTTACATTCTTTGCAGTAGGATAAAGGTAGGATAATGGTTGTGGTCTGTGCTATCATTTAATCTTAGCATGTTCCTTCTGCAGACCTAATGAGTGCTATTGTTTCTCACAGTCTGTATCAAAGTAGCTTGTACATCTAGTTGTTCTTGTGACCAGGGGTAAATTCAGTACTTGGAATTATGCATGCTTTGAAGACTACTGGGATGGCATCTTTCCGGTATCAACTTTAGCCTAGGGCATAATGCATCATCATTTTTTAGACTATAAAAGGCTTTTCAGTAAAACATTGAACCAGAGTGCTTTAATTGTTTACATAGTATGTAAGGAACAAATACAATTCTAATTGGCTGTTGCTTTTAAAAAGCCCTTAAAATGCTACAATTACTTGAATAACATATTTGTACATTGAAACAAGAYGTGCAAACAATAGAGGGTAAAAAAGGAAATAATCTCTGTTTACGTCCTTATTAGGGATAAACAGTAAGTTGCCGTCATTGTAAAGGCTTGTGAATCTGGACAGTGAATTCCTGCTGCTCCTGGCTATGGGTTTTCAAGATGATCTCTTGATTTTTCAGAAGAGGGACTCATTAGTTGGCCTGGTGCTTTCTTTTCAGCTGAAGGAGTGATTCCCATGAAGTATTCTATAATACTCAGTATAGTTAAAAAGTGACTATTTCAAAAAGAAGTGGAAAAAGCCCCATTCTGTTCTTCAGGCTCATTTTAATTTAATCATCACCTTTAAAAAAATAGGTTTCACTGTACATAGACTGTATTATGTCACTAAATTCTGCAATATATATGTGTAGATAAATGTATATTTGCAATGATTTTTATATRTTGATAATTATGCTTTATCTGCTAAAGTTCAATGGCTAAAGGAACTTGATATTTCTATAATATAACAAAATTCAGTGAAGTGAGAAAATATTTAATTTTTATGAAAATCTATGAATTAGAGTTTAATATTTATAGCTCATGTGGCTGAACACGTATTTAAGTAGCTTAGTTATAAGATTACAGTAGTTTCATAATTAGAAATGATGGAATGTCTAATTAGTTTGTTGTATCATTTTGATTGTAATGCGTATTGAAATCTAAGAAATAAAATAGTGTATTATTTACTCTGTTACAGGTAGCTTGTATGCAGCTCATCAATGCTCTCGTTACATCTCCTGATGACTTGGATTTTAGGCTGCACATCAGAAATGAATTTATGCGCAGTGGATTGAAAGAGATATTACCAGTAAGCATCTAGTCATCTCTCTTTGCAATATTATTTAATTTTTTAAATTATTTGAGCTTGAGAGGGGGAATGGGAGAACAAATTCTAATAAACTAATCTGAAAGGCATTTTATTAAGTTTGGGAAAGAGCAGTCAGATATGAGAATGAGACTTAAAATAAAAATGACAAGGTGAAATGTGCTCTCTGAACTTTATTCTGATTCCTGAGCATTTTATAACTTTGGTTAAGAACATGTGACAGACTGTTGTACAAAACTTTTAAGCCAGCCTAAAGTCATGTTTACCTTTTGAATATTTAATTTAAGTCATGTGTTTTTGTAATTTTAAACTTTTAAATAGCGTAGACCTATGGAATTTATTAAAAAGATAACATTTATTTACATATGGAAATACTATTTTTGCAAGCCTTTCTACTGTTTCTTCTTTGCAGCAACTACAATGTATAAAGAATGAAGCACTAGATATTCAGCTGAAAGTGTTCAATGAGCATAAAGAAGAAGACATGATTGAATTCTCTCATCGTTTAGAAGATATTAGGTCTGAACTAGAATATCCTTTTGAAGGCCAATATGATCTTTGCTTGTATCAGAAATAGTGTGGCCAGCAGGAGCAGGGCACTGATCATTCCCCTGTACTGGGCACTGGTGAGGCTGCATCCCAAATTCAGTGCTCAGTAGGCCCTTCACCCATAAGAAGAACATGGAGGGGCTGGAGTGTGTCCAAAGAAGGGCAATGCAGCTGGGGAAGGGTCTGGAGCAAAAGTCCTGGGAAGAGCAGCTGAGAGAGTGAGCTTATTTATTCCTGGAAAGGAGGGTCAGGGGGGCCCTGTTGCTSTTTGAACTCTACTGAAAGGTTATAGTGAGGTAGGGGTCAGTCACTTCTCCCAAGTAAAAAGTGACTGAAGGAGAGAAAAGGGCCTCAAGGTGTGCTGTGTGAGGTCTAGATTGGATAATAAGAAAAATTTCTTAGAGAAAGAGTTGTCAAGCTCTGGAAGTGGTGGAGTCCCCATCCCTGGAGATATTTAAAATAWGTGTAGATGTGGCATGTAGTGGCTTGGCAGAATGGTGGGCTTGGCAGTGCTTGGCTAATAGTTGGACCTGATTATCTTAGAGGTCTATTCCAGCATAAATGGTTCCATGATTTCAGCAAGACAAACATGAACAAAATAAAGCACATAATGGATATTTTTCTGCTATGATTTCTGTTTASAGAAGTTATCAGTCAACATTTGACTGAAAAATTTTGTTATTTGTTATTCTCCTTAACACTTTTACTGAAGTAAATGATGTTTACAACATGGTGTGGAATACAGTTAAGGACACTAGTGCTGAAGGATACTTTCTTTCTATTCTCCAACATCTTTTGCTGATAAGAAATGATTATTTTATCCGGTATGTTTAATGCTGTGTTAAATGTTAATTATGGATTTTTTTTTTATTATTCGATCATTAGTAGAATATTTCTTCCATAAATTTAATGATAGAATGTAATCTTTCTGTGTGGATTGCAATTCGTGAACTCATGTTTAAAAATATCAATTTTGGATCAATAATGGCATCTATATGTTTTTATCTCTTCTGCTGTATATAATTTTATTTTGTAAATACAGAAACTATTTTTGTTAAGAGCTGAGCCTTATTATTGCAAGTGTAAGTGATCAGATGTCTTAATCAGTTATAAATTATGATAGTAGCATCATAATTTTGTGGTGCATTTGAGTCAAAGGACAAAACCAAGTATTCAAAGAAGTGCACTTTATACAGAAATCTGAATATGTGCCTTATTTAGAGTAACTTGTGGRTTGGAATTGAGTATTTTCAGTATACATTATAGGTCAGTGTAGACATGTTTCTGTCTTTTGGAGAATTCATCMGATAAATTACAGGGAAACAGTTGATAAAACTTTAAGTGTTTGAAGCTGACAAATACTTTCCAAAAACCTGCTTCTGTTTTCTTTGAGGAAACACCAGAGGAACAAGGTATGAACTGAACAGGGGCCATCTGTTTTCTGCACAGTGTTCTGCATAACCTTGCATTTCGGGCAAGGTCTAGCACAGATGTACGTTTAAAGGTTAAGGGTGCTTGCCTGCTATGGGTACATCTGTGCTAGACCTCTTCCACCTGAAAAGGTTTGAATTCACAGCTTGCAGGTTCTGGGCAAGTGACCCAGCTGTCATACCCCCTGGCATTTTAGAACAAGGTGTTTTTCATTCCTCGTACTGAAGCAAGGCTTCAATGCACTCAAAYTTAACAAAAGTCACAAAACTAGTGGAATGAAGCTGAAGGAAGAGCCTTCTGAGGACAAGGTGGTCTTTCCTTCCTGTATTTCCAYAGAGGGTGAGATAGGTTTTATAATATAAGAATTATTTATCTTTAGCTCCAGTTTTGTCAGGCTTTTTGTAAATTGTTTTTGTGGAATAAACTGCCAGACGTTATTTTCCTTGGAGGCTTCTGGGGTTTGCATCTACCTTTCTATGAAAACAAATCAGCCTGAATATTTTGATTTTACTTTGTTCATAGACAAGATTTTAAATATAGGTTGATAAATAAATAWGCTATAAAATAGCTCATCTCTGTCTTTAGTCCACAGTATTTCAAATTAATTGAAGAGTGTGTGTCACAGATAGTGTTACATCGAAGTGGAACAGACCCAGATTTCACGTATCGTAAAAGATTAGATGTAGATTTCAGCCACTTATTAGGTAAGTACTATGTTTGGAAATGATTACAGCATCATGCTTCCATATATGAATTCTGTATGTGAWTAAGACTCTTGTGTTCCCCACATATATGTAAATGTGATTGTTGGTTTTATTTCAAGATGTTTGTGTAGATAAAGCAAGATTAGAAGAATGTGAAGAGAGGGCTTSTGAGCTTTCCAGAAAAGTAAGTAATTTTTTTATATGATGTGATCATAAGATGGTTATGAGATTATGTAATAGATTAATGAATGGTATAACTGAACATGACATARTTTTTAACTTGAAATTACTATTAGTTCTGGGATGAAGTGGGAATTTGGATGTTCCTTGTGGATTAGGAAGCAAAGTGGTACAAAGTAGTTAACCTAAAATGAGAATCTTTCTACTACTTAAGTTTTCGTGTATCACTGTGCCAAAAAACAATTGAATACTTTATTTCAACAGTTATCAGTTTCTCTTACAAGATGAACAGTGAGAGAATAAAAATTGACCCCTCTTTATCTACTGACTGTATAACTGTGCATCCATGGCTTTTAAGCTACTCTGTGTAATACTGACTTAAAATACATTAATGCTTTATGCCAATTCATRTAGTAAAGACCTGTAATGGTGATACTGATGGTTCTTCCTCTCAGCAGACACATGGAAGTTAGAATAGCAGATGTGTCCTTAATATTGTCATTACATGAGTTTTGATAGGCACAAAAGGAAAAATTGGAATTTAAAGAAACTTTGCAGAACTGACTGGTACCAACAATTTCCTTTTTTTCCCCTTTTTTTCCCTTTTAGTTTGAAAAAGATTTTGTAGTTCATCAGGAGACCCAGGCCCTATTGCAAAAAAAAGAGGAGCGAATCAATGAACTTGAAACAGAATTACAAGCTTTTAAATCACAGGTAAAAGACAGTATAAATTAATTTATGAAATAATGGTTTTAAAAGAGAGTTCCTTTTGCATCTTCTTTGGATTCTGACTGTACACTTGAGGGTTTTTGCAAAGAATCTTTGTTATTGATTATTATGAATGTTAGTTTCATTTGTTTCTGTTTTATACAAATAATCATAATGTGACATTAATTAGCTGTGGGTTCCCAGATCATCCTTTTATGCCTGAGCTCTGTTAATGAAACTAGTTTCTTAGGTTTCATTTGGATTTTGCTTTCAGAGTCATACATTTCCAAAGTAATTAACCACATAGGGTAATAAGTCTTATGCTTTTAGATTAGCATTCATCATTGTGATCTTTATCCCTCCACAGGAAATTGCTCATTATGCAGTTTGCTATACTKAGGCCTTACCATGGATATCCAGCACTGAAAGAAATAACCTGTGGCTGGATAAGAACATTTTCTGATAATTTTTCAATTTTCAAGCATAAATAGGTATTTTAAAATATGATGGAGAGGAATAGTGAAGATTTTTTGAGAATAATACTTAAGTTGTAACTGCTTCAGCTGTTAGATCTGTGTAAGGAGACTGAGTGACCAAGTGATTTTTTCTGTGTCTTATTTCCTGTAATAAGGAGCACAGTTTAAAAATGGCTAAAGAAAGACAGCATCAGAAAGACATGCTCATAGGGGTTTATTTTAATACTTCTGAGGGATTTCTTTTATATTTATTAGTTTCTTTAATTTTCTTAGTGGGGAAAATTAATTTAGCTCTGCTTTGGTCTATTTAGAAATGTCATTTTAATTCATGTTTCTGGTCAAAATTAACTGTTAATGTCAAAGTCAAACATTTAACAAAAACAATTACATAAATTGTTGCATTCTAAAARAACAAATATAGTAAGAGTGGCATGTGATTAATTAAGGAAGTATTTTTCTCTGTGTATCATACTTAAATACTTTAATACTTTTTGTAAGTGAAATTTGTTTCCTCCCTATTTTATTTTTTTCTGGTTTTACTGCATTTAATATAAGTCTTTCACATGCAGACAGAGAACATAACATATGATTATGTTCACTAATTTTCATTTTATGAATTATCCCGCTGCTGTTAAGGGGACACATGAAAAGTATTGTAAATGTCAGGTAATTGATTAGTGCAACTTAGTACTTTTAAATCTGTCTGAAGAGGAAACTTTGGCTTCCATATGGCATCAGCTGCTACTTAGCATGTCGGCTTCTMTCTCTAATGTCTGTTTTTCCCCTGGTCTCATTCCTTTAGTCTCCTTGCATTTGGTATGTGTTGATGTATTTCTTTCATTTCTAATTGTTGAGCCTAATTGTTCAGTGTCTACTTGTCAGTGTAAACAATGCTTATGTTCACAAATTCAAAACATTATCATGCTGTTGTGCATGCATTTATTTGTATTTATTGATATTCAGCTGTTTCCTTTTCTAAATTTTAAATCTTTTGCTTATTGTATTTCCCTTAATTTTCTAAAAATAAAAGGGCCTGTTTCATCTCATTGTTAGTTGAGAAGGTAATTACTGCTATCACCAATAGGTAAATATTTCTTATTTATTTTTCTGTTGTTTTTGTCAGATACTTTCTTATTTATGTTTGCCAAGCCTATGATAGAAGTTCTTCAAATAGGAGAAATRATTTTTTTACACTTGCTGAAGTGCTCATCCTATTTTGATACATTATGGTTGTAATTTCTATGTGGAATAAGAAGCTGGTGTGTAAGGAAGCTTGATTTTTTGGAAGGATATTTTTTTCATCATTACTTCATGTTTTCAGTTGTGTAGAATGTGAATGCTCCTGTATTGGAAGACACCTGTTTTTCAACAGAATTATTTATCTYCTCAGATTCTGCTATTATGTACTTGGAATGTTTCTCTGTAATCTGTAAGATAAGAACAACAGAAGACTAGGGTGCTACTTTTTTTTTTTAATTTGAGCTAAACCATGGTACTCTAGATACGATCTTATCAAGATTAGCTCATGGTCAGTGAAATACRCAAGTGGGAAACATAATTTCAGTTTGTCATTTTTGATGTGCACCCTCCAGGTCTGAATGTCTGGTTCAAATACTGGCGCTTCTGATCATGAAATTAAAAGCATGTTGGGCTCGTTTATCATTCTTTTTTGACTGTTCTATACAAGGAAAATGGCATTGACTTTGAAGTGCCTTTCTAGATTTAATTTATAAACTATGATATTGTATTTTGTTGATAAAACTGAAACTGTGTAATATTTTCCTTATCAGTATGGCTCTGTGCCACCTGGTTTTCTGCCATCACCTTGTGGAGATGCATCAGTCGTTCCACTGGAAGGTGCAGGACMACATCACTTTCCACCCCCTCCTCCTCCACCGCTGCCTTCCAATGGAGCAATTCCACCACCTCCGCCTCCCCCACCTCCTCCACCGCTTCTGAGTAGCTTGGGAGCTCCTCTGGGTTTTGGTGGCGCTCCTCCACCACCGCCTCTACCAGGCCTGCCTGGAATGCAGTGGTCCCCGCCTTCATGTGCTTTGCCATTTGGACTGAAGCCTAAAAAAGAATTCAAACCTGAGGTTACCATGAAAAGACTCAACTGGTCTAAGGTAGTGTTGATTAATGACAAAYACTTGATGAAAATCTGACATTGAACTTAAGAGTAAATGGGTTGTCGGGAGTAAGACTACCTAAGCAAYTGATATATTAGTAAAATTATGTAAGAGATGAAAGCTTTCTGTCTTTAGTTTTTCAGTTTTCTAAAACTGTTTCTCTGAATGAGAAACATCCTGCCCATGAATCATCTGGGCAAGTATCTGTTGACTTTATGAGATACCTGGAAAAGTCAGTTCTGGTCTAGAAAGGAACAACCTTGATAAGGGCATGCTTTCTATGCTTCCAGGGTCCTGTTTTTTTAGCAGACTCTTTACACTCTATTGATAGCTAAACAGTTTCCAAGCAAGTGTTTTGCATCTATCTAGCCTGCACTGGAAAGATGCAGYGCAGGTCACTCCATTTGTCCACAGTATAAATGCAGTCACTTAAATTTCATGGCTGACAAAAATACAGACTCAGTTTGTGGTTTGGTTGGCTTCGGTTTGTTTTTTTTCCCTTCTCCATTGTGACAAGATCAAGAATACCAATCTTCTGAGTTTGGAAACTGTAACTATTCAGACCAGAATTAGTCAGTAAAGAGATTTTCACAATAAATAAAGTAATCRAAGCTACATTCTGAAAARTAAGGTACTTAGTATGTGGTTAAACCTGCTGTGTTCGGAGATTATTTGAAGTTTGCCCAAGTTTTAGATCTAGACCAAAGGCAATTTGCTCTGTTTAGATCTTGGATAACAGGGTGTGTTGTCTGCATTGTTGGAATCGGTTTGTCCAAAAACACTTATTGTAAGAGTTATTATTTTCAATGAGTAATATATTAACAGCTGTAAAGATGAGTTGTATACTAAAAGTTCACAGAGCTTTTAAWTATTTAATGAGCTTTAGACTCTACAGAGCACTGTTTCTGTATAGTATCAAAATAATCAAATTTTGTTTTGTATGTTGCTTGTAGATCAGACCTCAGGAGATGACAGAATCCTGTTTTTGGGTTAAGGCCGAAGAGGACAAGTATGAGAATGCTGACATGCTTTGCAAATTGGAACTTACATTTTGTTGTCAAAAAAGGGGTAAGTAGTTGATCGGTTTAATTTTCGGCTTTTGTAGATTTAAAATTCTTGGGACTTAAATAAATATATGAAAGAACCCCTTGAAATATAACATTAATCTCTTGTTTCCAAGTGGCATGTATGAGGAAAAATGTCTGAAAATCCTAGAGTGCTTAAAGCAGTAATATTGAAGTATTTTACTTAAGCATGACAAAAGATGTATGACCTGTAGGAAAACCTCCCTGAAASAAAGCCAAGAAATGCTTCTGGATAATACAGATGACTTTTATTTATCATGTTTAAAAAAATATTTATAAAATTTTATCAGAATACCATCATAAATTACTGAAATCTTATCTGGAGCCCAGAAGGTGATGTGTTTACCTTCAGAATGGATATGATTATTGATGTGTATTTGATCCACAATGGTAGTCTTTCAGTGATTTTTTTTTTTTGTACTTCCTGATAAACCTGTAGGAACATAGATCACCTCTGATATTTGCTTAACTTCTTCAGCTTTTAAAGCACTGAGGGAACAAATATTTTAAAGTATTCCTGGGTTTAAAACTTTTCTCCCTCCTTTGGAAGTAAGCCACCTTAGCAGTAGTTTAAAGTTATTCTGTCCCATATATAAAATGCCTGTTATTTTTTGACACATTTTTTGTCTCACTCCTTTTTTGGTATCAGAGATGTAGTACTTTAGGGCAGCCAAAGGGCCGTAATATTTAATTTCTTTGTAAATTGAACAGGGGTTGTTTTATTTTTACTTTGTTTAAAAGATTTTACTTTGATATTTTTATTAAGAGAGTGGCATGGCATTTTGAAATTTCTCCCTTTTTTTGGGTGTTTTTTGGTGTGTATTATCCTCTTTTTTTTTTTTTTTTTTTTTTTTTTTTTTTTACCATAACCCAGAACTTTATTCACCTATTGTCAAAGCATCCTTTTAATGCTCTAGCAGTGTTTGTACTAATTTAAGTATTATGGTTTATTACTGCTGGTACTTAATATCAAGAATTTTGTACAAAGATAAAAAGGCAAAAAAACCTCACAGACCATAGATGTGTTTGCTTGAATCTATTAAAATAAGTCTAGAAGCTAATTATGGTGCCTTTATAATGTTARCAGAATTCCCAAGAATGTTTTCTGAATTAATAGGTTGGAGGTTTTAAAAGCCACTGGAGGAAATGGTTTCCTATGTGTAATTAAACAGTAAAATTTGGGAGACTAGATGATGTTCAGGCCAAACATGTTAATGGCTCAGAAGAGGATTGTGAGTCTCCACAGACAGCAAGAACATTAGAATTAACAAGATTAACATCCCTCAATATTTAAGTGAATGGACCGAATACATTGTTTTGACAAAACCTAATAGAGAAGAGTTACTGGATCTACAGTTGGAAAGTCAGTGAAGTACACTTTTATACCAAATGTGTGTGTGTGTAGCAATTTAAAGATTGTGGTCTGCAGGGACAAATTTATTTCTTTTTTATGGGTGAGGCTTACTGCTTAGTATTTTTTATTTTTAAGTTTTGAAATYTCTCTCATCCCACATAGGTCATATAAGTGTGCCTTCATCTTAATTTTTCAAAGGAAGTGGAGACACTAAAGATTTTATTTAGAACAGCAAGTAGGTGTTTAAAGGGCAACATGGAACTAAATTTCATCTTTGTTCAAGTGAGTGGTTTACAGAACTTTTCATGAATGCGTAAGCATGTTAGTAGGCAGGACCAGATCTCTGGGTCTCTTGTTGACAGCATGAATTCCAGTACTGAGGACTGCAAAGCAACTGCTTTTGCTCTCATGACCGAGGAGAGAAGGGATGCTTCCTTGTAACTTGTGCATTACTTACTGATTATAACAAAACTTACCAAAGAAATTTGAGACATACAGTTTTCTTTGCAGTCTTGAGGAAATTKAACACCAGGCTCTCTTAAGTAGAATCAGCAAGCTATTCACTACACTCAATTTGGAAAGAGTCCTTGACTATTTCTAAAGCTTTGTCTCTAAAATGAAAAAGATGAGAAATTGAAAATTATTCTGTAGCCAATTGATGGCATGCAAAGAATGAGCTGGTTTCCACACTGCTGAAGGGTCTGCTTATGCACTCTTTTCATTAAAATCATTGCATAAGAAGAGATACCTAGTTGAGGAAGCAGGGATCAGAATGTTCAATGATGCTTTAAGTGAATTTTATTCTCATTAAGTAAAATCAAATTGAGGTACTCAAATATTCACTTGGTGCATTTTGCCAGCTAATGTGCCAACAGTATATCAGTGTTGATCCAGAAAAGGAAGTCTTATATCTATGTAAATAATCCACTGAGGAGTTTTTGCTAGGAAAAGGAATACAGAACAGTATAAAATAGATTTGAAGATTCGGCAGATGTTTGTGTAGGAGTTATAAATTATGTTGATTCTGAAGAGGCATGGAAGCAATTGAGAAACTGAAAATGTTATGGAGGTATGAAAGAAATAATACTGCAAGAATAAAGCAAAAGAGGGCCTGGCTTCAGATTGTAGGAAACCTTTGTAGAGTATATACAGAGACATTTCAGRGACATGAAAAGTGTGCCTATTTATTCTTGTTTGTTGTGCATCTCCGAGAATGCTGGTTCCCTCTTATTTCCAACCTCCTGTCAGGTCGTTTGAGACAACAGTAAGTGTTCCCTTGTCTTTTATTATCCTTCTCAAGACTGACAACTCTTTCAACTTTTCTGCCACTGCATTATTATGTCTGTCTGCATTATTATGTTTCAGCCCTCTAATCATCATGATGATTTTCCGYTGTACTCATTCCAAAATACCTATATTTTTCTTGAATTGGGAAAATCCATACAAAGTACTCCAGATACTTACCCCTAAGAGTGGGGAAGTATCTCCCTGAGAAGGAAGTAGAGAGAAGTAACGACTTATTTGACTTGCTGCTGGCCACAGTCTTGGTATTTTACTGGAGGAAATGTTTTCACTGTGCTGTTTGGTGATGGTAATAATGGAAAATCCACAGAGTATGGGTGATAATAGGATATTTTCTCTTCTTTTGCATGCTATAAAGCTGGTTTTGTCACTTCAAAAGTTGAATAATTTTGTGAAAGCAGTATGTTTTATAAAAATTAAACTTCGAGATAAATACTGAGGCATATCAATGCATCAGTTGTTGATGGTATTCTTGTACAACTTATTGAAGATGAAAGATGATTTTTTTTCATTGACTCAGAATTTAGTGGAAAACCAACTCCTTTGTCATAAAAGCCTGAGCGAGAGGGCTCCATGTGTGTCGGAGCGTGAGTGCACGCTTTGGATCATTGTTCTTGTTCATGTTGTGGGGATATCCCTGACAGGTATAGCAAACCCACCACGTGTGGAATGTCACGGATGCTGTCATCACGGTTACCCTTGTGGGTTTATTTTGGCCGTTTGGTTTTGGTTGTGAGCTGGTTATATGAGTGGAGTTGGTTTTGTGTACCTCTGACAGCTCCATGGCTACTCACTGGCTGAGGRGAAAGTAATTGACAAGTTCTGAAAATAAGGTGATGAGTGTGAATGGTTTTTGCGAATCATCTTTGGTTATCTGATACATTTTGAAGGCAAAGAGAAGTATTRGTATGCAGAGTGGTTAGAAGAGATATGAAAGAGAAAGAARTAAAAAGAAATTAGAGTTTAAGAATTACAGGAGTTATCCTCGTGACTACAGACCAATGAAGAAAATCTGTGYAAAGCCTTTTTGGCAACGGTGGTATCAAAGGAATCTTCTGCTGTTATKTTTGGAAAACATTTAACTGAATGTATGACTTAAAGGAAATTGATATGGGAAATACTGAATAGCAGAGCTGAAGCAAACCTTACGTGTGCTTTTATATTATTTTAATTCTAAGAGAGAAGATGAACAAACACAAATGCTCATTATTGAATGACAACTACTTTGTAATGCACTGGAATCCTGACGGAAGAATAATCACTGCTCTGTGATGCTAACTAACATGCTCCTAACTGTGTTGGAATTTTTAGACCTACAGGCAGAGGAGTGACACTTTGCATAAAGGATAGCATGATCTGTAGAATCATGAAAATCTTGTGGGGTGAAAGAAACCAGTGCAAAATCTTGTGAATGGAAATTTCTTCTAATAATATTATGTTCTTTTATTAGCTCTTGGATGACATGGTATATATGATGAACATATGTTAAGATTAGAGAAACTGAAAAGTTTGTGATAATAAAGTGGGAGATTTAACTATATCCAAGATTTGAGTAAACTTTGTGTTTTAATAACAAAAATTGCTAGCAGCTAAAATTATGGGATAAAAAAACTGCATGTGACTTATAGGGAAGTTCAAGACAATATTGCAAGAAAATAACATTAAAAATGTGAAAGTATGAAGATAATGGGAAAACTAATTAAATGTATCAAGATAAATGTAAGTGTTCTTCATGTACTCATTTTGAATCTTGAATTTCTTGTAAAGGATCCTTCAGCTAATTTTGAAACATGTATCTTTTTTTGGAAAGTGAAGTTAGCTAAGGAATTGGTCAGACCACTTGGGTACAACTTTAAAAGGTCAGCACATTCAAAAAAACAACAGAAAAATTTGGGTAAATGGTCCAAAAGAAATAGGAAAGGTTGTGTTTGTAGGAAGGAACTTTCTCTTTTGCATGGCGAGGAGAATGGATTATCAGATGTGGTAAGGCTGGCATAATGTCTTTTTTAGGAGCATCTCTTTGTGAAGTTCTTGTTTTTTAATCATTGATACGAGTGCTTGGAGTAGCTTCAAACTGTTATGTTTAAAACTTACAATACTTAAATAAGGTAAATTTTAATATGCAAACACTTGGTTGGTGAAGATACTTGGAAGAGTACTGGTGTGGAGGAGATTATAGCAGTAAGTTGCTAAAGTCTGTAAGTGTAATTAATGTAGTGAGACTATTGTGGTTGGGCATTATGTGGGATCTGTTTCAGGATAATAAGAGACAATTTACAGTCATCCTTTGGGTGCTTGAAGTAGTTTGCCAAGGTGATTCCAAGGCT